CCTAGCAACCCCAGCAATGCCCTGCCGGTTACCTAGCAACCCAAGCGGAACTTTGGTCAGTTGGTTTTAACACTGCAAAGTATTTTTGACTAGTTTTTTGTGCAAATATCTTAGTTTGGTTTTATTTCAAGTGCACTGACTCACAAGTAACTTTTCAGTGAGTATGAGTTTAAGTCACTAATTCCTAAATGTTGAGGAAATTAAGGTAATTAGGTAAAGTAATTTTATTTATACCGCACATTTTCAGCAACAAGGCAATTCAAAGTGCTTTTAGGAAATAGTACTTGTTCCACTGATCGGTTTTCTCTTATGGTAAAAATGTTGTGTGTTAAGTGAAATAATCTGCTAGTAGAACTAATTTGTTTTGATCAATAAAAGGCGCTTGTTTTATTTGCTTAAAACAAAACTTTTTAACAATATTTTGCTAAAAAGTTACTTGTGAGTTAGTTTTGTCCTATTTCAAGTGTACTAAGATACTTACACTAAAACTAGACCAAAAATACTTGATAGGACTGTGTTTTTGCTGCATATAGCGCAGGCAGCGATAAGACCAGTTGACCAAATGTGCTGGAATTCTGCTTGGGTTGCTAGGTGACCGGGCTGAGCTTAACTCGGGTTGCTAGGTAACTGTGCCCTCTAATCAAATATGACTCAGGAATCAAATGGCTAGTTTTCCTGTGTACTAGTGTTTTATTGTTGACTTACCATCTAGAAACCTCTTGCTGCATTATTGCTGATTGTGCTGGAGGCTCCAGTTCTGCTTTTCAAATATGTACGGTTGTATTATTGCACATATATTAGTAGCCATTTTCACATGTGAGTGAAAACATTGAGTTGGGGGGTCGTGACCATCAGCAGCTTATTTGGATTTAATGACGGGATGCCCTAAAACAGCTCATTCTGAACTGAGCAAACTAAAATCTCATTATCTAAGAATGATTTTGTGCAAAATATGTAATAAACATGTTTTGTTTCGCCCACAGACCTATCCCAAACTGTTCAAGGGAGCATAGTGGCTCACCTTTAAAGACCTATCCCAAACTGTTCAAGGGAGCATAGTGGCTCACCTTTAATAGCGGTTGTTGAATGTGTGTGATGCTCCAGATTTGTGCACCGTTGTGACCCAACTGATTAGAACCAGATCCATATGTGAAAACATAGCGCATGTTTCTGTTAGCCGTTGACCTTTAACCCCTGTTAGGTTTGAACTGTGACTCCTCTGAGTGATGAAAGCTGGTTCACGGTCAGTGTGAGGTGAACCGCTCCACTTTGACTTGGTGACCTTTTTAATCCTTGTAAATCCAGTCAAAAAGGCATAAAGTATCATCTTGAGCTTCAGGTTAATGTTTTTTAGCCATTCTCTTCTTACTGATTGATGTACTTTCAGTTTTTTTTACATGAGAAACTGTCTTGTTATAAATATGCCAGTGGGACTAGAACTGTTTCATCAATATTAAGGAATTAAAACAAGCTCCTACATCTTGCTGAAAAATATGTTAGTTTTCTCTCATTTCATATTTTCACTAGAAACTAGACAAAAGCTCTTGGTAAGATTTTGTGTTTTTGCAGTGTGTGATCTATTAGGTCATTTTATCTTGATGTCAGATATAAACTTGAAACAGCTGTGGGATTTCAGATCAGTGATTAATACAAATATGATTTTATTTTATTCTTTTAAATAAATACCACAGTCTTTTAGGGAAATCTTTACTGTTTATTTCTAAAACTTATCTCTCCTGACGTTTTAAAAGCTTTTTATGTGTTACATAGTAGGGCTGCAGCTAATGATTATTTTAGTAATTGATTATTCTACTAATTAATTGATTAATTGGATAAGAAATTGGCACATTTTGGAAGCATTTTATTTAAGCACCTTCTATATAATGTTAGAAATACATCAGAAGATACAAATAAACAATGATTTAATTCCTTTTTTAAATAAGAAGATATACATGGTTTTGCCTAAAGTACAACACAGCATTCCTGCAGTAAACACTTTGTCATTTGTAGCAAAGGATGCATCTGCAGCTAAAAATACTTGTAACATAAACATGTGAAAAGCTCAGTGCATTTCTAATCTTAAATGTAAAATATATAAATTTTTGTACATTTTGGCTTAATTACTTCTCTGTTTTTTTAGCAAATTGCAGAAAATTGCCTTTTTTGAGTCTGTATGCTCCAGTTAGCAATTAATCGATTTCTAAGTTAGTTGCTGATTATTTCAATAATCGATTAATCACAGTTAATCCAATGACCAGACCGGCTTAGGTAGGATTTCTGTTTTAAACAAACTATGTGGGATCACATTCCTTTTTCAAGCTCAGATTTGATCATTTAGAAACTTTTAGTAGCTACATTTCACCGTTTAAGTTGATATTTTAAAAACTGGCAGACCGGCTCTACACTTGAAGTTAGTTTTTCTATTTTACACTTTCTCTACAACAAATTGGTATTTTCCACCCATGAGTTTCATTCATGGTGCAACTGCTGCTCCGCGAAAGGCCCAGGATTGCTTCACTCAGAGGAATGAGGGATTGCGTCACCGTTGGAGCGCGGCGCAGTGACTCCCTGGATCCCTTTACACGTCTTGCTGCTTAATTCATTCCATTTATTTCCATTCCATATTTTGTTACTTATCTCTGCCTCATCTTTTCCTGCTTCCTGGTCCGCAGTATTACATCATTCCTAGACGAGGGCCTCTGGGCCTGCTCTACTCTACGACAGGAGAGCTTTCTTTTTTCTTTTTTGGATCTAACCTAGAGCTCTAAAGTTTTCCTCCTTTTTTCCAGTGAGCATTGTCTTTTTGACAGTTCAGATCACAAAACCAAGATGTGAAAAAAGTTATGCACAGAATAAATATTGAGTTATTTAAAAATAAATATTCAAATGTGTTTTTTAGCTCTGAAAAACAAAAGTATTATTACTCATTGAAACTAACACCGATTAATCGATTACTATAAGATTTAATCAGATTTTAAAAATTCACATCTTCATTTAACCACTTAACTTTTTGTATACACATATAATACATTAGAAATGCATTAAAATATGTCAAGTCCTTTTTTAAAATAAGAAAATAATCATTTTATTGCCTGAAAAGCAACGATACAGCTTTCCTTTAGTGAATTTGAAACAGTGGAAGCTAAAACTGCCACTGAGGAGTTTTTGATAAAACTTATTCACAGACAAAGGTTTGTTTTTTATCTTAAATGCAAAATGTTTTGTACAATTTTGGCTTAATTACTGTTCTGAATATGTTTTTTACAGTAAATGGCCAGGAGCCCGTCTACTCCTGTTAACGATTAATTGTTTACTAAATTAGTTGACAATTATTACAATGTTTTAGTAAATTTGAACATGAGAAAATGTCTTTTTATAAGTGAATTTATCTGCAAGTGGAACTGGTACTTTTTACTTTTACTTAAGTAATTTTATTATTAAGTATTTCTTGTCTTACTTTAGTAAAATATCTGGATTCTCTACCCACTGAATGAAAAACAGACACGTTTTAACCAAAACTCACCAGACACAGACGCACACCTGCTGTTTTTGATAAAGTTTTAAAAAAAAATTTTTTGTAAGAAACTGATTTGGAAAAATCAGTTTATTTTGCCTGATTTTGTTATTTTTTGTTACGTATATGAATTATTGTCGTTTTGGACCTTGAAATATCAAAATTTCCACTTAACTTTATATTTTTGGTCCATCTGATGATGACATTTTAAAATATTAATTGATTGATAATTTGATCTGTTACTCAGTTCTTTAGTAGATATTTTACCAAATACATATTTTACTCTTACTCGAGTAATTTCTTGGCTGCTTTTTACTTGAATAAAAATACGTTTAAGTATCACTACTCGTACTTGAGTACAATGTCTGGGTACTCTGCCCCCTCTGACTGTTGGATATGAAGGCCAGAGCCATGAGGTCCAGCTTACAGCTGGTGTCTTTCCACAGGATGCGAAGTGTTCCTGCTTCCTCTTATGTCCCGTCTTTATTTGTTCGGCTGACTGAAGCAGCCGACCTGACCTGCTGGTAACTATAGCTGTGGCCCAAGGCAGCAGGAATGGATCCTAGTGGCTCACAGACAACAATAGAGCTCCATGACCTCCAGGTTATGTTCAGCCCAGCCTTCAGGACCTCGGTGTTTACCGTAACATCTAAATGGATCGGTGACTGTAGGCCTGACATCATAGTGAGCTCTTCTATTTTAAAGCTGTGCAGGTGTTTACTAATTACATCGATGAATCACATCTCCAAAGGTGGAGCTTTTTTTTTCCATCTGGGCTTTCCATATAAACATATTGAAGCACCAATGGGTCACCATCCTGATGAAGGCAGCGAGTCGAATCGCGCTGGCGACGAACACTTCAAGAGTGTCTGGAGTCTTCAACTTAAAAATATTCTTCATCATCACTTTATCAGGCTAAATAACCCAAATTATAGCTATTAATTTGAAACTTGCTTCCATGTTTCACTTACAAATACTGTATTTAGTTTGTAAGCAAAATATTTAGTTGCAAGTTAAATATTTAGCTCCAAAAATACTTAGTTACCAAGCTAAATATTCAGTTTGTAAATATTCAGTTTACAAACTGAATATTTAGTTTAGTGCTAACTATTAAGCTCCAAACTAAATATTTAGATCGAAGTCTAAATATTTATCTTTAAGTCAAATATTTAGTTAGCAGGCTAGTTTCAGTTTATAAGCCAAATAGCTAGGTAGTGAGCTAAATATTTAGCTCTAATCAAGCTGAATACCTTTGACATCATGGTCGGGTTGAAACTGTCGCATTTGTAAATTAATGAATAATGTGGTAAAAACTTGAAAAATATATTTCTTGTATGTCAGGCTAAACAACCCAAATAATTGCTGTTAATTTTTGACCCAATACAGATATGTCCAACGCACCTGAATCCTTCTTGAAACGTAACTTTTTTGTGTATTTTTAGCACTGCTTCATGAAGCTTATGTTTCGTTTCTTTGTTTGTCACAGGTCTGATCAGTCAGTGGCAAGGTGAGCCTAAGGAGCGGATCATCTCTCTGGTCCTCACCCACCTCCCTCTGCTCAAACCGGGCAACACAGAGGCAAAGAGCGAGTACATGCGCCTGCTGCCGCGCATCCTGGCGCACACCATCGAGCACGGCCACCACCTGGAGGAGTCCCGCCAGCTGCTGTCCTATGCCCTCATCCACCCGGCCACCTCCCTGGAGGACCGCTCCGCCCTGGCGCTCTGGCTGAACCACCTGGAAGAGAGGGCCGCCGCACGGGGCGACTCCCTAGAGAGGCCGCCTCCCGCCGCCGGCCCCCACCATCACCACCACCAGTCCACGCCTCCGTCCACCCTGGCCTCGTCGGGATCCTCGTCTTCCACGAACTCTTCGTCGTCGGGGAACCTGTACAACCTGCACCACCACCACCACCAGCGCTACGGCTCCGACGACCGCCTCAACGGCTGGCAGAACTCCCGGGACTCGGGGATCGGCGGAGGCTGGCACCAGCAGCAGGGCTGTGAAAACGGACATCTCCTACTTTACCCATCATCCTCGGTGCCGGCAACCATCAACACTGTTGGAACTGGTGGAGGAAGCAACACCAGTAAGTAAAGTCATATGTACTTTTAGCAGAACCGCCTGCTAGTAGCTGAAACCACGCTATAACTTCCCGTTTTAATAGTCCAAACACCAAATATACATAAAAAAAAATAATTAATACACTGCAACAACAGAACTTTATACCAAGTATTTTCGTCTTATTTCTAGTGCGAATCCATCAGTATGCTTGAAATGAGACAAAAGTAACTTACAAGTAACTTTCCAGCAGATGATAGGGCTTGATTTAAGTAATTCATTTATATTAATGAAAAAGTATGAGTTCTACTGGCAGTTTGAGGCTGCAAAAAATCTGTCCAAGGGCCACAGATGGCCCCCAGGCCGCACTGTGAACACCCTTGTTTTAAGTGAAATGCCTTACTGCTGAAATGTGCTATACAAATAAAATTTGATTGATTGATTGATTTGATTGAAGTCAATCAATATTGATTAAAAAGTATTAGTTCTACTGTCACGTTTCTTTTTTTTACTTTTAATATGGGGAAATGTCTTGTCATAAGTGAAATAATCTGCTAATGAAACTATAACTTTTTAATCAATATTAAGGATTCACTGACTTAAAACAAGCTCCTATATTTTGCTGAAAAGTTACTTGCAAGTTAGTTTTTGTTTCGATTAAAGTGTAAGACATTTGCACTAGAAATTAGACCAAAATATCAGGTAAGATTTTGTATTTTTGTAGTGTAAGGATGCAAACAGTGAGTGGACTTGTGGTTAATTACGGATTAATGGTTTATTAGATTAAAATTACTTCCAGTTGATTGTAAACAACTGACAATTTAGTAAACAACTTAGATCTTCTTGTGGTGTTGTAGTTTCATTGCCGTCCAGCAGAGGGCGCGGCTAGTCATTCGTAATCCGAGCCACATCTTTCTAGAAACAAAGATGGTGACGCTACCACTGGACAAGACAGAGAAACGGTTCGAATAGAGTCCGGTTCGGGATGTAAAATGCACTTTAATTAGTTCTGTTTTGAAATATAAATACTCAACAAACTCGAAGTGTTGGAAAAGCTTCAACTTCTCAACCAAAATCTACTAAGGTGCGACGAAGGTGAGTAAGTGATGGCAGGAAAGCGGAGCGGACAACGCAGAAAAAAGGTAAGGCGATAATAACGGTTGATTTTGTGAGCTGTTGTGAGTTATTCCAGTTTTAACATTTCTACATGCGAATAAATGTTTTATTCCTTTCGTATTTTATTTTTCTATTCACAACCTAAGAGATTCCTGTTCTATTATATTTTATGATGTGCGTAAACCACAATTTTCAGTTTATTCACTCCGCGTTTTATACAACGGACACAAAATAATGTTAAAATGTAATGATTTTTTCTTAAATGTAGCATATTATGAAAAAAGTAGCTTTTTGTGTTATGTAAAGATGGTTGTACCGCATGATACAAGAGAAAACTCAGGTTTTTAAGAGAATGGCTGCTCATCAATTAAACGTTAGTCGATTGATAAGCATTCCTGCTGCAGAAGCTAACACCCTTATTTCTGCTTTTGGTGATTCGGCCAATCAGCATTCGGGAAAAATAATGTTTTCAAAATGGCGGCCGATAGCTCTAGGATTTCCCAAGCTGTATTTCTTCAAAATATTTTACATAATGCTGATGAATTAGCAATTTTTCTGCTAATTTTAGTCGCTGCCTTTGATTACCAAGAGTTTTAAAAATGATTATTGACTGAAAATACTGACAACAGCTCACTGGACTATTTATTGAGTTATAACATAATGAACCCATTTTCAAAATGGTGTGTGTAAAGTCTTGTAATAATAAGAGAACCTAAATTCATAACTTTTCATCCTTTGACAGCAGATAATATGCTGTATCTATGCTGCTTTATCTAAAACTGCCTGTTCTTTTTACTCCTTTTTTGACAAACAAGATTTTCTTCTTAGAAGAAAAATTAGCTAAACTGCAAATGATTTATTAATTCCTACATGTCAGATATTTGTGATTTGCGACTTTTTTGGTAGACAGAATAGCACTCGTTTTACATTGAATTAGTTACAACAGAATGTGTTTCGATAATTTTGACTAATCTAGCTGGTTGTGGACAAAATACAACCTGATTGTGGGTATAATTTCTCACATTTTTTCATAACTGTATAATTTAGTTCTCACATTGAGAGAGGTAAAGTATAGTTTATTGAATTTGCTTCTTGATTAATACTCCATAGTCATAAATTACTTCAACATGTTTTTTCTCAAGTAAAAGTAAAATGTAGCCATCTAAAAGATTACTCAAGTAATGAGCAACTGATCAAATTATCAAACATTTAATATTTAAAAATTACATGATCGGACGGACCAAAATCCGATCAGTGGAAATGTTGGTATTTTAAGGACCAAAATGACAATAATTTATAAAAAAAAAAAAAAACAAGAAAAAGAAAATCAAGCAAAATAATTTTTTATTCATATCAGTTTCTTTAAATATAAAACTTATGAAACGAACAAAAACTGCAGGTCTGTGTCTGAATTTTTGGTTCAAACCTTTGTTTTTGAGAATCCAGAAATTTTACTCAAGTAAGAGTAGCAATACCCCATAATAAAATTATTCAAGTAAAATTAAAAAGTACAGCGTAGTAAAAATACTTTTATATGTATTTTATTCCCCCCCAAAAACGTTACTCAGGTAAATGTAATTGAGTAAATGTAACTAGTTACTACCCAACTCTGCTTATTCTTAGTCACTTCCAGAGGTTTGAAACTTCCTGGAGTTTAATCAAAACACCAAACTGAAATAGTCGGCACAGTAAACACACTCTGGACAGTTCGGACCAGCGGCTCCCTCAACAAACCCACACAGCAGCTACATGGCGTCCACATGAAGACGACGCACCGGCAGGGAAGGGCTGTTGAAATTCGGCATAACTATGGTCAGCGCAGGATATTTCCAGACATGAATGCAAGGGCTCTGTGGATTTTTTTCCCCTTTCTTTTTCTGGAAGATGAAAGAAACAGCTGAGGGGGTTTATAAATAAATGCACATTTAAAACCTATTCACTCTTGGATTCTGGGCTTCTTGCCGCCTCCGACCCAGACGAAAACCTCAGGATTTCACAACTGATAAATTGGAGTTCGCCCAGTTGGTTTGGATGGCAAGCAGAAAATAACTAGGATAAAGTATTTTTTAGATACTTTTACCAACTATTATTGGAAAATACTCAGTATCTGATTGATCTATCAGGATTGTGTTGGATTGTAATTGTCCCATCACTTCATCTAGACTAGTCTTTCTCAAACTATGGTGCCCCTAGAGGTCCACAAGGTACTGCATGTAAACAACTGTTTATTTGCTGTGACATGAGCTCAAAGTGCGACACGTACATTTAGTTTACCACAGAATTGTGTTTAAAAATAATAATGGATAAGTGGCTTAAAACCAGGTCACTCAAAAGAAAAACTGAACATTTTGGTGGAAAGAAAATAACGCCAGAATTACTTGCATGTAACACTTACATGTTACTTGTATGATCGGAGGAAGTTAAGTCATTTCTGATGTGATGTTCATGAGCAATTCGAGTCTTTTGAACGACTTTATATCATTAACGGGTCTCAGTTGGTGAGAGGTGTTATTCGTTTTTACGACTTGTTTATAATGGTAAATCAACTCGTCTATTTTTTTTTATTATGCTTCTGAATCACAAATTTGGAATGCATTGATTTTGATATCCAATATGAATATTGCTGTTACGGTCGATAACTGATATCTACTATATTATATATCTATTATATATATTTCATACCGTTTTGACATCATTAGGGGAAAAAAAAACTCCACCAGAAAAAATAAATATTGATTCTTCATATTGACCAAGTTTTATTTATTGTTGTGGCCAGTCACATTTACAAAACAGCATGCATGAACAAAGAAAACGATAATAAACAAGTTAAAAGATGTTGCTAAGATCTTGTGTTAATGCGGGGCAATTTCAAGTGAAGTGATCCTCAACCTGAAAAAGTTTGAGAAACTTTGATCTAACAGAACAGCTTTAGTCCGAGGCACAGCAGCGCATACCAACCGTCCGTTCCCTTGTAAGGCATCCTTTGTGGCGGACTGTATTTAGAGAAAATAGCTAATATTTAGGGACTGGAACTTGAAATGTTAGCTGGGCATCTATTTTAGACAGTCTTCATGAAGCCCTATACATAGCGCCAACAGTAAGAGGACCACATATAGGACTCAGGAGGAGAGACTGGAGTGTTGGTGGCAGCCGACCCAGTCAGAGAGGCGACACAAAAAGCTCTTTGGCTCTGTTTTTATCCTGTTTACCCCCTCGAGTTGTCTCCAGGATGCTATGGGTGTCTTTTGTTGTTTTTTCGTTTTGTTTTTACAGGAAAGACTGTAAATCTGTCACTGTGCATGATTGTCTGTAGGTTTGGATACTTGTATAAAAGATATTTATTTTCATCTTCCTATTATCTGCCAGATCAAACCGTGACTTTACCTTCAGTAAAGTCAAGTTTATTTGTATAGAATCGTTGGATGTTATTGTTTACATCCGATTCTTTTACATGCTATCCATAGCTGCGCTGCTGCCGTAGAACAGTCACATTAAGAAAATGAAACCTGGAGATGTAGGTATTAATTTAGTGCAGTGCACCAAAGCAGTGAGAAAAATGAGGCAGAAAACTATTGAAAAACTCAAATATTCAAATCATATTTTTATTTTTTTCTCACTCTCTGTGTCAGCTCTGCCACACAGATTTGTTGCTTTAGCAAGCTCCACAGCTCCACTAATGTATCAGGATTAAACGCCCTAAAAACATGCAACCATTTCCCACACAAAGATCAGAACATTCAGTTTTATGTTTTCAGGTTTTATGTTTATTTTGGCATTTTTAATAAGTGATCGCTGTGGTATATTAGCTGCCACTGCTATTAGCTAATCTAACACAGCAGTGATTGATTAGTTAATTTAAATTCAAAAGCATTTCAAATTGCTTTATATCATAAAACATAAAAAACCTCATAAAATCGTCATACTGTCACCAGTTGTGAAACC